CTTATATACACTCTAATATATTAATATTTTCATTATTATGATTAATATTTTTTACATAATCAACACTTATTGTTTGCTCTTTTGCAAACATGCAGGAATGATGAATCCAGACTCTTGCCCCTTCTAGTTAGCCCTGTCACACGGCCACGTGGTCAAAACTCTCTCCTGCTGCTCTACATAAACTCTTTGGTTCCAGTGCATGCTTTGTAAATGAAGTCTTGTGATGTTCAGAGGTAATTGTAGTTTTTATGGTTCTGAACAGTTTGTACTTTGTTCCAGTTCTTGGTGTGTGTTAGCATGATTCTGTGGAACTTCTTGGTGAAACAAGAAGACAATCTTCTCGGCAAAACTCTCACGTTCACCTTGCTGTATGGGTCTCTGTACGGCACGTACATTTGGACAGGTGTGTGTTTAAATTTATGAAGTATTATCAGTTTATTTGTAAGTGAAKACAAATCGGCTTTTAACGTCTCCGTTTATTTTCAGGTTTAATTCCTCTCTGCCTGGCTCTGACCAACAGAAATGATCTGCTCAGACTCCGACCAGGAGTCTTTATGGCTTTGGGTTGGGGGTGAGTCTTCACATTTAGTAGTTTTAAAGAAAGCATTGTTCGGTAACAAAATAAAACACTTTTTTCTGTTTCATTAGTGTCCCCTTCCTGATGGTGGGAGGTCTTCTGTTGTCAGGAGAGAGGACAGACACCATAGACTCCGCCTTCTTTTATGGGAGAGCTCAGGTTTGTTTTCAGTTTGAACCTTTTACGTTTTTCTACGAAAAATCTTCTCATTCTAGCCTTTAGTTTGCACCGTTCTGCTTTTCCTTTGCCTCTCCAGATTATCACATCTGCTGTGGTTCTCGCGGTGAGCCTGGCCCTCGGCGCTGTATCCCTGATGGGTCTCAGTCAGGGAGACAGGGAGCAGACTGGGTACCAGGCCCTGAGCCGAGCTGCCGTTACAGGCGTCGTGGACGAACCGGCGGTCCCCGTTGARCCGGAGGAGCCACAGCGACCGCAGACACAGGTGGCCGATTCACCCACGTGCAGCATCAACTCAGGTAGCCTCACAGTGTTTGATTTGAAACATTCTGAAGATTCCTGTCTGTGTCAAACCAGCACAACTTTACTGTGTTTGTTGTGCAGACCTCCCGAGTTTTTCCCCTCTCCAGTCTATACCTGACATGATAGCCAGCACACAGAGGGAGCACACAAACAGCACGGGTAACAAGCACAAATTATTTTTTCATTCTTTAAATTTTATCAGTGTAGAGTAAAAATAATCACTCAGATCTAAAAAAATATATACATTTTTTGTTTTCTTCAGTATTAGTTCTGACATGTGTTAAATGAAACAGATCTAGCTGATCAGTACAGCTAAATTAAATCAACCTAAATTGRATGGGGAAATGCATGTAAAACAATTACTGATCCTATTTTTATTTTACAACAAAGAGCCAAAATAATTATCACAAGAAAGCATTACTATCACCCTTCTAATATATTGTTTCATTAATTAAAATTATTAAATTTTTATGAGTTGGTTGCAGATCAATTAATTTCTTAAAAAATGATCAAAGCAAAATTGTTAAAGAAATATGAAATTGTTGAATTTGTATTTGTATGAGTCACTGTTTGAGGAGTTGGATTTTTTTGTTTTTTTATTATTTGGTTTATTATTGTTTGAAATTAATATAATTTTATGTAAATAGGAGCAGATATAAGATTTTTCTTCTGCTGCTGCCTTTCATTTAATTTTATTTGTATTGTTTTGTTGTATATAATATGTTTTTAAAGTGAATAAATACTATAAAATTAATTAAATCAACTTAAACTCTAAACATGTAAATTTGGTTCTTTCATCCTCCATTAGCCTGGTTAAAACCAGACCCTTGTCCTTCGCTTTGCTTCGTACGAGGGTCTGGACTCTCGCCTTCTGTTCTCTGATTGGCCCAGATGAAAATTCTCCRGATGAAARCCTTGTCAATGGGAGAAATCCCAGARGGAGCAGTGAAGGGAAACTAGAATTGAGTGGAACTGCGTAGGAAGGCAAGGGCCAGGCTAATRCTCCGTTAAAGATGGTTTAAAATAGTTGAAAGAAAACACATTTGGCAATTCTGCTTTCCCTCTTCAGGCCACAGTGGGGCGCTGTGTGACGGACAGCAGCAGAGGTCCTCCTCCTCCGAGCAGCCYCTGAATCTGCCTCCACCTGGGCCTCAGAGCACCGACGATAAGCAGACTGTGAGACARGTTCTGCTCTGTCTGCTGCTCAGTGTCAGCCTGCTGGCAGTAAGTCAATGTGCAAGTTTACTGGGGTGATGCATCCGAGTTTAGTAATATTTTTTTCTTATTTTGCTGTGATTTCTTGTGTACAGATAACACGTATGTGCAACAGGATGTCTAATTTTTAGTGAATGTGTGTCTGTAGAATTTGTCCAGCTGTCTGTGGTGGCTGTTCAACAAAGATCCAGGAAGACTTTACCTCGAGCTGCAGTTTTTCTGTGCCGTGGCCAACTATGGACAGGTACTTCAACATGTTAACAGTTTATACCTGCGTCTTGAGTTGTAAAAATAATAATAAAATAAAATGTTCAACTTAACTCCAAAAATCTGTTTGCGTTGCAGGGTTTTCTGTCCTTTGGAATTTTTGGTTTGGACATCTTACCGTTCAAGAAGAGGTGAGACTTCAGCAGCTCTTCAGCCACAGTTACTAAAAAAACCTCACTTATTASAGTTACCTCGTGTTCTTATGTGGTCCAGGTTGCTCAGTTTTTGGCAGGGAGGGGATAGTGAGGATCTGAGTCCGTCTGCCGTACCCGAGGAGGTCAGGCTCACCTGCACCCAGTTTGTCCGCTACCACAAGGACCAGTGTGTTCAAGACYTAGTACGCACACACAGGTACGAGTACTACAGCATGTACACCTACGCAATATATTTGTTTTTAACGCAAATCTTTTCTCTAATATCTTTTTTCGTTAAAGAAGCTGAGGAGTCGGAAAAGTCTTGTAGCTTTGAAATGTCTGGTTTTCTCATTTAACTAATCTTTTTATTTATTTATTTTTGCTTTGAACCTGCATGAGAAATTCAAATTCTGTTAACTTTCACTTTTTTTGCTCACTTTTTCTTAAAACAAAGTCTAGCCAAGAGGTGTGAGGATGCTAATTTTAAAAATCCGCTTCCCAACTTTAACAAAATAAATAAATAAACCCTCAACTCTCATGATATATTTTTATTAAGTCTTGGGTGCTACTTTTTGCTTTTTTCCCTAACACACTTCTTCAATTCTTCCATTTCCACAGATTAATTAATCCTRTCCTTGCTCTGTCCTTTCCTTCTTCCTTCCCTCTTCACCTTGCTTGGTTGTTCCCTCCTTATCCTCTTCATCACCTCCTAGTGGCTCAGGGGAGAGTATGAACACTCCGACAGGTGAATCCTTCCTCTGATTGTCACAGGTTTGAAGGAAGGACAGAGGTGGAGAATGGAGCCGGACATTCCCCCTCCCATCATCCTCAGTACCTAAATCTAAATCTCCAGGAGCAAACACACAGTGAGACACAGAATCTGCACCAAGTTCCAGCTGAATRCAGCAGTCAGACTTCACTTCCATCCAACCCCGAGCCTCAGGATGAACACCAAGCCTATCTTTCCACTCTTGATGGACACAACGAGTTCTCCCAGCCTCACGCTAACCAAACTCACGGCCCAGCCCGGTCCGATCTCGACGGAGTGTTTCGAGGTAGCAGCTTGGTCGACTGGCTCGTGGGGCGGGGCCTGTGTGCCGGACGAGCTGAGGCCAAACTTTACGGCGGTCGCCTCCTGCAGGGAGGAGTGTTCTGTCACCTGACAGGCCAGTGCAGCTTCAGGGACGAGCCCGCTCTGCTGTACCGCTTCACCCCGGGGGTCCAGGAACACGCAAGGAGGAGCGACGAAGACGATCTAAAGACACGAGCTTTGAGGTGCCAAAGCAAAGTGCCTTATGGTGCTGGCTGCTCCAGTGGTCACTAAAGGCTGACAGCATTAGTTTCAGTAGAATTTGCCACAAAAAAAGAGAAAAAAAAACCAGAGGTTTTGAGGGGAAATTGTGACACTTTGCTAGAATAAAGACAACAAATGACACGTTTGATAGCATGCTTTCACAGTTCTTATTAATCTCAGCTGCTTGTCCAGTCTGGTGTCACATTGGGCTCAAATTTATAGACTGCAGTTTTAAAGAAATTACACACATAAAACCCCAAACAAATAAAGGCTTGTGTTAGGTCTGTTTAAAAAGAACTTTTCTGTGGAGGTCCAAAACTGACAATTAAAAATAAAAGCAGGAATATATTAGTAGCCCAATAAATTATTAAATACACTTAAAATGCACCACTTAATTCAAAAAAGAATTTACCTCATGTTTTATAATTTAATTGACTTTCATCTTTATTTTTCCTGCTTAGTTCTAACAAATTATATATTTTAGCACATAATTTACATTTTACGGTTTAAAAACAATATATATGTGTATACACACACACACACACACACACACACAAGTCTTAATCTTTTTAATGTTATTTCATATTGTTATTTATATCTTTTTTAACTCCTCTAAACTGGTATCTGTGATCACCATCAAATGTGACTTTGTTTTCCTAACTGATCTGCACTGGTGYAGTCTTCATAAGGATTTATGTACAGTGTTGCAGATTTTTAAATGAAAGGTGCCTCATCCTCAAGTATTATCTATTCAACATGTGTGCCTGTGGTGGAACCCCCCACCCCCCCAAAAAAAAAAAAAAAAAAAAAAAACGAAGCAGACCTATGAACTGATCCCGGACTGAAAGTCTTCATCATTCATGTTGTAGACATTTATTTTGAGTGACCAAAAACAAACAAATCCTTCTGAACACTTTTAGTGTTTTTGTTTTGCACGCCGTCTTTGAACCCATTCGATCTATGCATGACTCAGCAGTAACAGATTTTTGCACAACACTCATCTTTTTGCACTGACTGAATTAACGTGAAGAACATTGTTGAGTTATGCAAGACACTGGATGTTTCTGTTGGGTGCAGGAGGTGTTTGTCTTTTGCAAAATTTCATAATTTTTCAGGACTGATTTATTAAAAAGGCTATTAAATGAAAAAATTGGCAAAATCAGTTTAGATGACTTTCTCATAAGGTCTGGTTTGATTTAGGATTCTCTTTACCCCCCAGTTTTACAGTTCAAAGGTCAAAAGCACATGAAATTTAGATTTTTAGGCATTTGAATCATATGGACGCAATTACAGTTCTGATATTTGTCTTGATGTATATTTTACCTAAACCACTAAGTAACTGTTCACAACACTGCAGTGATCGGTGATTAGTGTTGAGTGTTGGATTAGGCTGAAGAGAATCAATCGTCTTATATGCACTTAAAGATTCAGGAGAAAGACAAAAATACATCACCAATATATTGACTTCACTGATCTGGCTGTCTTAATAAGACTGGTTCAGATAAAAAACAAACAAGGGGGAAAAATACCCCGCCACCTAAATTACCATGAAGTTTATTTTCAGATAAAAACTTGCAGTTACTCACAGACTACTGATCATTTTATAAAGTACATAAAARTTCTTCCATAAACTTATTGATGCATATGTTTCCATTTTTTAATCTTCTGTCAAATGACGCCATGAAGTCATGCATTACTGTATATCTGTTTTTTGTGTTAACTGCGTTTTTGCAAATGTTTTTTTTTGTATTGTTTCACTGGTTTTGGTCAGGCCTGTCTGAGCCAATGTGAGTTTGCGTGGACATTATCAGAATGCATAGTGTGTGTGTGTGTGTGTACACATGTTTTTGTTACCTGGTGGGGACAATCTTTGACAATTTTCATGGTAAACAGCGCCTTGCGAGGACCCAAAATTCCTTATGGGTTCCTTGGGTGAAATACCTTTGGTGGGTTAGGACTAAAGTTTGAGTTTAGGTCAGGTTTAGAGTAAGGGGTCAGGGTTGGGCTAGAGAAGTGACCAGTAAATGAATGGAATCCAATGCAAAGTCTCCATGAGGATACAAGAACAAACATGTGTGTGTGTGTAAAAGAAAAATAAGTTTTATTGTGTTTTATGAGCAGCTGATAGATGAGAACTACTGAGGATGTTTTTGTTTCTGCGTTTGTTCAAGTCAAACAGGGTTGATGACTGCTGGAGGACAACCAAGGCACAAATAAAATGCAATTTTCATCCCAAGTTATGTTTTGTGGCTCTATAAAAGATTACTGATTAAACAAACAAACAAAAATAAAACTCCCTGTAAAGGCAGGATTAGACAGTTGTACATATATGGCATTTTATTTCAATTCCAAACACCCTTTAAGATAGTCCAGAATAACTCCACATCATTTCTTTAATCCCTGTTGAAACCCTGATAAAATTCCATCTTATTCACTTGTAATTACATCAGCATTAAGACATGTTTAAGTGATTCAGGAACAACAAACATTCAGTTTTACTCATTTAAAAATCCAGACATACTAAAACAATATTRAGTGTAATGTTTGGGGAGCTCTAATGACTTTAAGGACAATGATAAAAAAAATACTAACAGCAGAAAAATGGCTTAATTTAGAGCAAAGGATCCTGTAGAAGAAATAAATCTGATCAGGTTAAAACAAGGCTAAATAATAATTCAGACCACAAAAGTAACAACCCACTAAAGTGACCATTTATCACTAAACTTCACCTAGCAGCACCACTTATTAAGACTGAGTTATAGAAACAACAACAACAAAAAAAATACAAAAAGTAAAATAATCATTTAAACTTGGAAAATTTGTTGTTTAATCCAGTTGAGTGTTCTGGTTACACTTTCCCAGTATTTCCATCTCAGTAGATCAGACTTGAGGGATTTTAAAAATCTGTGCATGCACAGTGGAGCAGTGGTTAGCACTGCTGCTTCACAGCAAGCAGGTCACAGGTTTGCTCTCTGACCTTTATCTGTGGTGTTGTAAATGTTCACTAAGTGCACAGGTGGGTTTTCTCTAAAGATGGGTGCATGCACAGCTTTACAGGTGTCCTAATCACCTGTTTGTAAATTTGGATTGAAAAAAACAAATCATTCTGCAGGGATGGCTTTGAACTATAAAATAGAAGTCCCAGTTTCCATGTTTCGAGGGCGTCTATAACTCTAATGGGACAAATGGTGTATTTGGCACAATGGACACACCCTGAACACAGACTAAACCATCTCCTGAGCAGCACTTACCTGACTGAAACAAGGTAAAATAAAAGGAAAACAGTTTGCTTAGACAAATAATGTCTGTTTTTTTTAAGTGTTACACACAGGAACGAAAAGTAGTGTGTTTTCATTCAAAATTCATTTCAAAACATTTATTTTTTTTAAGATTTCTGTTTTGGTCATAGAAAATCAGCATCAGATTGCTGGTAAAAGGATTTCAGTGACACTACTTAGAGCCATGAAGCTAAGACTTCATCTTTTTTACATGGAAAAACAAAACAAGAAACCAAACAACAAAGTCAATTTAAAAAACTTTACAGCTTCACTGTGCATCAAAAGCATTTTATTTTAAAAAAGGTAAACTACTAATTTGTTGGTTTGGGGGCTGCAAAAAGATTCCTTTAAAAAAATAATCTGGAATATGTGAACTCCTCTGGAACAAAACTTGAATGTGCAGCACAGAAACTCGACACGATAAGCGCACAAGMCCGGAGCAAATCATGTGCCTCCAGTGTGCCCTTACAGAAATCTACCTTCTGGCGTAGATAAAAGGTCACATGCCTCCAAGGACAGTTTTTTTTTTCCTCCTCCACTTCTCCTGTCTTGACGTTTTCCATTCATCACCGTCTCTTCCGTTCCTGCTTCCTTTCCACCTGACTCGTGCCATTGCTGTCCATGCCGTCCACCCTGAGGCGAGCTTCACTGTAGCGTCTGATCAGCGCTCCGGGCAGCAGAGCCATGAGGGCGATGGCCAGCAGCTGGGCCAGCGTCCCCCAGGAGAAGATGTCATCCAGGGAGGTGATCTGCGACAGGATGGAACCCGTACGAACGCAGATGAAGTTGTACGGGATCAGACCTGAAAGGAGGAGGAGTGATGGGAGTTTGTGCTCGTTTGTTTATGGTGTTTGTTTTTTAAATGTAATGCTCTGTGCGTGAGCTCACCTAGCAGCACAGAGAAGAAGAAAATGGATATAGGGATGTTGAGGACAGGACAGGTGATGTTAAGGAACCAGTTAGGAGTCATGGGGAAGAAACGAAGGAAAAGCAGGAAGAAGAATAAGCTGTTTTGATTCTCCTCCACCTGACAGAGGGAGGAAAACAAAAACAAGAAATACAGATGGAAAGAGCTGAGAGCAGAGTAAAGAAAGTAAAAAAAAAAAACAGAATGGCAGGGAATTTAAAGAGTTAAAGTGAAAACTGAAGAGTTTAGTAAACAAAAGTGTAAAAATATTATTAATTTATGACGTATCACACTTACCATCATTTCTCACTGTGAAGCTCATCAATACCTCATTTATATGTAAAGGCTTTTTGTCCAAATTATCATTTGAAAAACTGCGATACGAATTATTGTTGCTGTCAGCCACATGTCAAACTCCAGGCCCGTGGGCAAAAAGTGGCCCATCATGGCATTTTATGTGGACCTCGATAGCTTCAAAAATATAGTAATGTCTTAAAATAAGAGTGTGCTGCTTTAAAGCCAGCARTGACCATAAATTATCATTATGTACCGGTATGTTGATTATTTTACTCAAATGTTGATATCCCACCACTAGGTGGAGGTGAAAAGGGTTTAAAACATGGAGGTATATAGAACAGGAGTGAGCAGAAACCATGTGACTGTGTGATCTACTTTAGGTCAGCTCCTCCCCACAACTCAACACTGAGTAAATCTCTCTTATTATTATTAATAGTATTTCTTTATTATTTATTTTACATTTTGTCCGTGGTACTTTTCAGTGTTTATAAGAGGATGTGTTACCGTTTCTATGCAGGAAACACTACTTAGAGCTCACTTATTTGTTTGCTGATTAGTCAAATCAAACACAGAACATTAAATTAAAATAAAGTACTTCTGATACAAATTATCATTGTTATATAAAGGGAAGTACTGCACAACAATACCTACCTTCTTCTGCAGCAGAGCCACTTTCTCTGGAAAGAAGTGAACCACGTACTGTTTGCCAAAGGCTGACGACAGCAGGTAGCAGAATGTGGAGCCAAACGTGGCGAGCAGGCAGGCCAAAACCAACCCCTCCCAAGGACCGAAAATGGCACCAGCCAACATGTTCTGAAAGGAGAAGGAAAATCTTAATTTTAATTTAATTAAATTCACTTAATAATCTGACTGTATGGAACAGTGATTTTAGTGTCAGGACTAGTATCTCACCAAGAAGGATGAGCCAGGTATCGCAAAGGACTGTTTGTAAAGGTAGGCGCTGCAGAACAGCAGCAGCACATAGCTGTAATTTTCTCTTTTGTAAAATTGGAGCATCTCTGCGAGCTCCCGCAGGGACTCCAGGTCTGATGGGAACTTCAGCCTGCATGAAGAAAAACAGGATAATACAGATCAGCACATAACAGTCTGACTTTTAGAGATTTTTTCTAAAGACATTAAGTTTGCAACCTGTTTTATTTTCTCCAAATGTTTGATAATAAATGTATGACATTATTTTTTTGATGAAAATTGGCCCTAACTTTTTGCTACTTAAACTTGCATTTTGCTATTTATAGCTAGCACATTTCTTCTTTTAGCTAGCCTTTCACTAATTTCAGCCATTCTTTTGCAACTTGCAGCTAATCCTTTGCTCCTTTTAGTTAGCATTTTACTATTTGTAGTTAGCGTCCTGATGCATCTCAGTAATTCAGGTAAAAAATCAAAAAGAAAAAAAAATTGTATAGGTCCTCTGGACGGGTTCTTCT